GTTTTTCTCCAGGGACCTCTCCTGACTGGCAAATGACAATCCTGTCAGCTTACCATCTGCAAATACGTATACAGAGATTAGATCTCACTTCCTTGCTCTGTACTGGTTCTACCAATGATGCCATTCAAGTGAATGTTTCAGGGACTGTGGTAGACTTTTAGTTTAATTTTTGCTTCCCTCACTCCCTACACTATCCCATCAGTTAGATCTTATTATATCTACTTTACAGCCAAGGAACTATGAGCTTTGGAGGGATCAAGTAAACCTAGAACCCAAGATCACAAAAGTGGCAGCTCCAAGCTGCAAACATAAAGCCCTCTAATTTTTAATTTGGCAACTCAGCCCTGGCATTCAAAGACATCTGTGGCTTGCTACCAATTGAGTTCTCTCTCCATGTCTCCATGACTACCTCTGAACATCTAAATCCTCTCAAGCTTCAGCTAAACTGTTCCATATAGAACCCTGAGCCAAGCACTGGACTCAAGCTGAAATTGTTTGTTTCACTGGCTCTGTGACGTATTAATCCCGTGACCTTGTACCGGTCACGTAACCACTTGAACTGTAGAACTCTTATTTGAATGATGAAGAAATTACACTGAGAGAGATTTTAGATTCTTTCTAGAACTATGTTAAAAGTAGAGAGAAGACTTTAAGAGCACTAGATCTAGAATCAGACAGATGTAGACTTGTGCCTCAGTGCTGCCTGTTGCTAGCTGCTGGAACTTACATGGGTTATTTAACCTTTGTGAACTTCATTGTTACCATTTGTAAAATGGGACTAATAATTTCACCCTTCAGCATTCCTGTGAAGATTAACTGTGATGTATAATCATGTATGTAGGACACAGCACAATGCTTGGCATTTCTGGGGCTCCCCAGATAATGGTGATAATTATTAAAGACTATGGTAAAAGCACTTAAAGTTTATTTTTACTTGAAGGAATAAATTGAATTGTTGCAATTCTGTGGCTTTTTGCTAAATTCTTGACAAGAGAATGTTTATAAATATGCCAATGGCTTAAGCTTAGCTTTTTCTGAGGAGGAGAAGAGAAGTAGCCTGTGACCTCTAGAATCTCAACAGAATTATCCCACCACATTGTGAAAATGCATAGGGTGGAGGCTTTTTTGCTTCGCCTTTGAATGTTATTCTCATTCTCTGGAAGCAGGATGCTCTGCAGAATTTATTAAATGATCCATTCAGTAATGTAAACTCTGGGAAAGTCAATGGAGGAGGCATTTCTACTTTCAATCCTACATGGACATCCCACCGGGAAGCTTGAACAATGTGCGATGATGGTATGGGTTTAAACTTTAAGAAAACAGTCCCCTCTCAAAACCCTTCTTCTATTGAATCAATGGAACTCCCAGAACTATGGATGCTGGAGGTCTGTGTCCAGCAGGGAGCAGTCTAGCAGCCCAAAGGTATTAACTTTGGGGTCCTAGTTTACTCACTCAATGCAGTGGGCTTGCTTTCTTGGAGTGGAAGTAATTGAATATGTTCTTTCTCATTTCAACTTTAGCTGCTTAAATTTTTGCCTTGTGTGGGATTAACCATTGGTTAACAAAGTAGTTTCCCCAGTTCTGATGGATTTTACCTTCTTAGTGTTACACTAGGGGAGCAGGAGAGAAGCAGAGTGCAATGCTCAGATAGTGGACCAGCATTGTAGACATTTATCCATCAAGTGGACCAAAACTAGAGCCTCTTGGTGACATTCACATGAGTGGCTCAGTGCCTGGATCCCAGCACCACGTGGGAGACCAAATGCTTTGTTTGCTCATTGGTTCATTAGTTGACTCCAGATGTTTATTCTTGTTCAGATCTTATGTGGACACTACGCCTTAAGCAACATCTTTAAAAGTTTTTTTTTTTAAGGAAAATATTTACATCACATTCCCAGTAGGCACATATGTGTGTATGTGCCTTGAAATGAAAGTTTCTCAGATCACTGCTAACCTTTGCTATATGAGATGACTCCGATATATTCGACTCCATTCCAGTTTATCCAATTTCATTAACAAAGCTAGTCAATACCTATTATATTGATTTTATAATCCACTATTGGGTCACAACCTGCAGTGTGAAAAACACTGTGCCTAGAAAATCTAGTGACTTTCACTTTCAAAACCAACTCCCCCCCAGGTTTCCTCCTACTTCCTCGACTGCACGTTCTCTGAATCCTTTAGGGGTTCCTTCCGTCTGGAGCAGATGCCTTCCTGGGCCAGCCCTCTGTTCTGCTCTTGATTGAATTTCCTCACATATATCACCAGTTCCTGTGGCTACAACGACTGTTGCTCCTGTAGTGATTTGTAAATATATATCCCCAACTTGGGATGCTCTCCAGAATTCTGCATCTATGCTTCCAGCAGCATTCTCAGTAGTTCCATGCAGCTTTGTCCCCATCATGTCCCAAATAAAAATCGTTTTCTTTTCTAAATACCTCAATTTTCCTCCTTAGTCAATTAATGGCTTTCTTGTTCTCCCATTTACCTTGGCTAAAAATTTTAGGGTATCAGTCTACCCTATCATTTGGTCTTATTAATTCTTTGCTCACAACCTTCCTCTTACTTTTCCATCCTTGCCACCATACCCCCTTGATCAAAAAGGTTGAATGGCTTCTTATTGCCTATGGAATCGAATCTGAAGTCTTTAGAGTACTGGGCTATGGTCTCAAAACTTATGTCCATCATTGCCCTAAATGTGCTGTCTGCCACACTACACATTGATCCCCCAATTAGGAACTATAGAGAAATAAATATTTTCTAGTTATTCAGGAATCAGCCTTACCTCTTTGACTAATATGGCACTTATTATGTATTTTCTGCCATATGATGTCACTCTTTGGATTCATGCTTACTTGTTCGGTTATCATACTGTTTGATACTTTCTAGAGGGTTGAGATCCGGGAGTCACCTGGATCTTCCTCTCAACATCAAGGAGTAACCAAGCCATATTGATGCTGTCCTCTAAACTGATTATTCTCCAACATTACAGTGCTTATGAATTATCTGTTGGAATAAAGGTTCTGATTCAGCAGGCCAGAAATGGGGCTTGAGAGTCTGCATTTCTGTTTGGCTCCCAGAAAATGTGAAGCTGCTGGTGGGAGATGCAGGCTTTGAGTAACAGGTCTCTAAACCTTCCTTTCACCATCTCTTTCCCTTCTTCCTCCTTGCCACTCTTTCGGTTGGGACCCTTGTCACTTCAAATCCTCCTAACTGGTCTGCCTGCTGCCTCTCCCTCCCCACCACTAGTCTACCCTCATAAAACTATTATCTAATGGATCATCCCCTCATTAATGAACTCCCCAAAGCAAAAGTGCCATGCAAATCAGAAACGTAGGGTTGCCCTTATAGACCTGGCCTGTTATCTAGGATGGGGCTAGGCACTTTGCTTGGAACATCCTCATTCTTTCTGTTCATGCTTCCGTGGTTTCCTTCTTCTCTGCTTCTCTTTGATAAACTTAATGTGGCTACTCTGCTTTTCCCCAAAATATTGATTTTCATCTCACCCCAGCCCAAGCCAGGCCTTGTGCACCGTGACTCCCAGGTTCTCCACACTGGCTGGGACGCCCAGCTACTTTCAATGTGTTCCTTCTTAAATCCACTGTCGCCCAACAATGTGGGGTTATAAAGGAGTGGGGCTCAAGAAGGTGAAAGCTGATTAAAGGAAACCATGGTTGAGAAGGATAAATGAAAGAGTCCATCAATGAAAACTAGCCTCACTTTCTTTATGACTGCTCTGCAGTTGTGTTGGTCTCGTGGAGCTGGAGGTCCTCCCAGCCATGGGTTTGCACTGGGACCTATGAGATTCAGGCCACTGCTGTTCCAGGACTCCCCTGTAGGTTACGGGAAACAGTGATGTCTCGAGGGCCTAATTTCTATTTTAATTTTCGTTTATTTTTATGTGTTCACTTATTATTATTGTTCTTTTTTACTGCGGGCTTTATTGCTCGTTATTAGATAATATATCACAAAGAGAATTGTCTCTTACAACTTGGCAGAGGCCAGGGCAGGGCAAGTGTGAGAGAGATTCTGGAGATCAACAGATGGGGAAGAAACAGAGGTGGGAAATGAGATTCCTAGGTTTGGGGTCCCAGGTCTGCTCACATGTCTGCGTAATCTTGGAAGGGTGATCCAACCTCTTTGGCCTGTTTGCCCAACCCTCAGAGGGGTGCTGGCAACAGATCATTGTCTAACAGGCTTTAAGGATAAGTTACTAGGGCTGTGCAGAATATTTCTATTCTTTGAAAAAAAAAAAAGCAAATAAAACTGTCCATCCTAGAATCACACCATAGTGTCCCCATTGCCTTGAAGTTTTCTTTTGCCTAGTGAGTGGTTCTTTGTGTGACCTTCTCAGGCTCAGGGGACAGACTGAAGGTCGCTAACACGTGGACCAAAGGCGATTTCATTCTTATATGCCTCCCATTGCTACAAAGCCTGTGAAATTCCTCCATGGAAGAAAACAATGAATTTGGAAGGAAAAATGCGACAAGTGTTTTTCACCCTGAGGAACCAACCTTGCTTTGCACTGTATGAATGTTTTCCAGTGTGTCTCCCGTGGCACGAGTGTCTCAAGTTTGCACGGCATTGCTGCACTCACTCAGCCATCAGGTCCCACGTCCTCCCATCCCATCCTCCAGAGTCCCCAGGGCTTCTAGGTTAAATCAGGAGACTGACAGGAGCTCTGGCCGGTGCGAGCAATAGAAAAACGAGGAGCACAGTGTAGGACGTTGGTGGAAGGTGGGAGCAAGAGCGGGAGGAAGAGAGATTTTCAGCAGCACAGGGGACTCCTGAGACCCGTTTACAAGACGGACGCTTCCCTCAGTGTGATTTCTACATTTATGCCTCTTTAATGGCCAGCGCTAGAATCAATAGAATGCCTGCTACCTGGTTAATAATGGGGCAGTTAGGTGGCAGCAATGAGCAAGCGAGCTACGGGATGCATGGGCTGACAAAAAGACCATTGAATATTGACTTTTTCGCTTTTCTTTCTCTTTCCCCAGGGCAGCCACTGAAGTTCTGGCAGCATTGCTGAAATCCAGTAAGCACCTCTTTTGAAAAGTGGTTCTTTCTTTCCCCTATGAGTTCAGTGAAGGACATTCTTCTGTTTCTGTGGCACATTTTCAACCTGGAAAGCAATAGAGTCATTCTGGGATCTTTGGGATGAGATGGAGAATATTATGGCTGTTCCAAGCACAGGGCTACAAAGAGAGAGTTAATACCTCTCCCCATGTGTGCGTGTTGGTACATAATGCCACCGGGTCATTGACTCTAAAAGAAGTATGTTGTCTACTGCAGACCTGGGGCACTCTAGCTCCTTCTAACAGGACCAGCAGCCATTAAGGACTGTTGGAAAGAACTCCAGGTTCCAGTGGGATTATCGTATGGAAGAAAAGGTTATGACAGTGGGGGGGAAGCAGGATTCTTGCATTTCATTCCCAACTCAACTCTTGACTCTGTATTCTTGAGCAAGTGAAGTGTTGGGAATTGCTTGGGCAGTATAGATGCTGATAAGTTTATATTAAATAGTTAGCTCTTTTCTCAGTTACTTGAGTGATTGCAAAAGAATAGCTCTGGGGGTCTGAATAACTTGAGGATTTTTTTTTTTTTTTTTTTTTTTTTTTGCCTAGTAGCCCTGGTCTAATTACATTGGGAGTCAATTTCCTGTGTGTGCAATATAATAGAAGGCACCAGGCACTTGGGACTGAAGAAGTCTCCACTTAATGTTTTTATTTTTTTTTCCCCTCCTTACCTCTTCATCTATTTTAATTTGGCACCTTGGAAACCAGCTGCTTCAATTGTGATATTTGTTTCTCTGTAGGGAGCCTGAGGCCTGTGGGTAATACGTGAACTTTAATAAAACTTATAAATAAATAAATAAAAATAAAAACACCTTCTCCTCCCAACCATACATCTCTGTCAACTATAAGCACAGAGAAAGGGCCATATCACGTAGCCCTTCTCTTTGTAGATGGAAGAAAAAAACCTGAAGCTTGAGTTTATTTGGTTTATTGGAACTTGATACAATACACAAGTCTATCCACAGCTTTGTGACCTGCGGGTAGAGTGAAGGTGGTTCGAGGGGGTTGGGAGTGCAGAGTGAGAGGTCCTGAAGCCGTTGAGACAGGAGGGCATGGAAAAGTGTTAGCTGCGGGTTATGGGGAAAGAACGGTTCATCCTTAAGACTGAACTTGCCTCAGGTTTGATGTCTTGATTCCTATTTTTCCTTGCTCACTCTGTCGCTCCTGATTATAATGCCAGGTGTTTGATGAAAAAAGGTGAGTGAGTTCTTGGATTGCAAGAAGTGACAGTGCTGAGAATGGCTGGGTAAGCCTGCCTGTGAATGCCGTGCCTTGGGACAAGAGCTCTCCCTTGCATTCCCCCAGCCCTGCCTTGGCAGTAGAGGCCCGATGTTTCACAGGAAGAGAGCCCTGGGAGCTGAGAAAGGCTGGCTCACCTTCCACACCCCTTTCTCACCCTGTAAACTTAGAGTTGAGTGTCCTGATATACAGTGTACCTACCATGTCGAAAAATCTGAGTCACAAGCCCGTTATTAACTATGTCCATATGAAACATGATGCGTGGGCCCAAGAGAAACCAATAGCCAGTGCAAATACCGACTAATTCAGGCTTAGAACATTTAGGCAGATTTTCAACACACTGGCAGTGCTTAACAAACTGAGCATGCTCTGCTGGGGGCTCAGCTCTTCGAGTTTCTGACTTCTGCTCTCCCTTTAGAACTCAACTCAGACATCATTTCCTCTGAAAAAACCTTCCATGACTATAAGACCAGGTTGGATGCCGCTCGTCTATGCCCCCATCGGCTCTCCCGTCTCAGCATTGATTACCTGTATCGAAAGTGCTGTTGTGTGTCTCTCTCAGCTGACTGCAAACTATTACAGGAAAGGGTCGTCTTTGCTGAGAGTTGTATTACTTGCGTCAGCACAATAAAGAGCCTGAAATAAATATTTGTGGACTAAACTTGCAGATGAACAAATGACTTCTAATATTTACACGTGTAAGAATGGCAATACCACCCCCTACTACCTGAATCCAACATCCCATGCATCGAACATTTGTAGTTCTGATCTCTATTTCCTATACTAATAGACTCTTAGGGAACGGATAGCCTGCTGCCCTCCGCATTTAAGACAGGTTTTATTGTCCCATCAGAAGGATGTATTGGGTTATTTGCTGATTATGCTGAGCTGTCTACACAGACTTTTGTCTGGACCTTAGGTTCTTTATAACAGGAGAGAGTTGGATGAGAGGTTCTTTATGTTTTTTCTACCCTGAAATACTCAGCCCTAATGTTTACCAGGGTTTCTCAAACTTGACACTACTGCATTTTGGACCAGATAATTCTTTATTGCTGAGGACTATACTGTGCATTTCAGGATGTTTTAGCAGCATCTCTGGCCTTGACTCACCAGATGCCAGTAGCATCCCCAATTGTAATGAACAAAATTGTCTCTAGACACTGACAAATGTCCCCTAGGAGGTCACAATCGCCTCCTGTTGAGAGTCACTGATGTACATTTGACCACACACATGAGCTGAAGCCCATTCAAGGTCAACTGACTCCTCCCCAAATACCTTTATTGGTATTTCATAGAAATGCCCTTTTTGCACAATTGATCTTAAAACTTCCCCAGTGCTGGCATCATTTCTATGAGTTCAGAAGAAGTAAGAAAGTCATTATGAACATGCAGAAATTACTTGGAAAGGAGCAAGTTCTAGAGATCTAGAGAATCTTAGAACAAGGAGGGCAAATAGGCTCCATTACAAGTGACAACTCATATGTATGGGTAGAAGGATTCTGAGATCATATTTGAGCTCAGCAGGAAAGTGGGCTGTGTCTAAATAGCAGAGTCTGTCATGGATTTGAGGAGGAGCAGTAACAGCTCACCAGGCAATTGCCATCTTTGTTCCATCAGCCTAACCAAAATGAAGGCATGAAGGATCTGGGTGTGGATGGTACCACTCCACTTAGGCTGGGATTGCTGGGGGGGAGGGGGGGAGATGAATGTCGTGGAATTCTCTAGTGCTTTCTATTGTCTTCATGCATAGTTAAGACCTGACGTGGAATGTCTGTCAGTTTGGATCCCAGCTGAGTTCATGTCAGCTGAACTGAAATGCAGGAAGTCAATTTCTGTCTAAAATTCAAAATCTCACCTTCTGGCACTGATATCTGGGAGCATTTATGTGAAGCACATTAAAAGCACATTCTGGCCTTGATGCTTGCTTGTCAGTATAAAAGTTGGCTATTGTAGTAGATCTCTGTAATTGTGCTACAAAAGGAAAACATTCCCCAGTCAAAATAAAGCCAGAAGGACATCTCTGTTACCTTGGGGATGGTCAGTGTTCCTGTGACAGTAAACATGGGTGGGCTTGGGAATCTGAGGTCAACAAGGCCCTATCATGTTGTCGGTGGCTGGAGGCAATCCCCACCAGTAACAGGAAAAACAGGACTGAGGGATCTGGGAGACTTGGAATCCACCAAAATGTCACCACAAAAAGAAAGGGAAAGAGCTCCCAGGTCACGTTAGGAAGATTTTGTTATTTTCCCTTAGTCCTCTCTTCCCTCAAGTAGCTACTGCACAGGAAGCCAATGGAGGGCGGGTGGATGGCAGCAGCCGAGAAATGAACCGGAAGATGTCTCTCACTTCTTTCCCTTCCTGAGCAACAGCAGCAAGAAGCTCGGAAGTTCGAAAGCCTCTTTTCCAATTGTCTCTGCATTTAGGATCCTAAAAATCATCGCTCATTCAAGGGTCCTTTTTGTGTGTCCTTGGGCTAGAATGGACTAATGCAAATCTCATACCTTTCATTGTATCAGTTCCCCTCCTCTCTACTCACATATCCAACTTAAATTCACCTGTAGTAAAAGTATCCTATGCAAAAACACTTAGCTTTTTATTACTGAAACTTCATAAAGCTTTGATTAAGAAATAGTGCTTCTATTGCAGGCAATTTTTTTTCTCTAATCAAAACGTATTGTCCTTTGTCTCTATCCTGCTTGCTATCTGCCTCTCTTTCTCTCTCTCTTTCTATCTCTATCTCTGTCTCTTTTTCTTTTTTCAGCATCCTCTTCTCCTTTCCTTGTCGTGCCCTCCACCCCTCCCTCTTTCCTTTTGCTTCCTAACACCTCTTCCGTGAGCATTAGGTTGAAAGGCAGTTTGGGAAAATGGCAGCCTGGAAGCGGCCTATGAATGGGTGTGTGGCGGTGGGGTTATGCCAGATTGAAACCAGCTCCAGTGATCAATCTTCAGATAATGCCTTGGTAGTAACCTTCTTGCCCAGACTGAGAAGTTACACTCTTGCAACAAGAAAACACCTGACACACCTTCTGGTTCAGGCCCTAAATCTTCATAAGGGAATGATGGCTCTACTTCAGACTACTTTCCCACTGAAGAGCTTGCATTTAGAGGAGTCTGGAAGTTTGGATAAATTGGGGGATGGGGATGGTGTTGGGAATTAGAAAGTAAGTTAGTAAAGGAAGGGAGACAGAGAGAAAAGGAGGAAGGGAGAGATGCAAGAGAGCTAATGGGCAGTTTGGCAGGAAGATGAGACTTCTCACTTATCTTCCTAGTTAATGCTCTGGCTGGCTGTCTCACAGGACAGCCATCAGCCTGCTGCTAGGGGAGTAGAGGAAGGGAGGGCCTTCTAATGCCCAGAGCCCTGATCGTGCTCTCAGAGGTCGTCTACTGTGGCCTGGCAATCAGCAATGCAGTGACCAGAGAGCAAGATGGCTAGAGAGTTGCTCTATGGCAAAAAGTCAAAGAATAGGCTGTTTTTTATTTTTCATTTTTGGTAAGGAGGATTGTTGCTGAACTAACATCTGAGCCAATCTTCCTCTATTTTGTATGTGGGATGCCACCACAGCATGGCTTGATGAGCACTGTGTAGGTCTGCACTGGGATCTGAATTTGCAAACCCCAGGCTGCCAAAGTGGAGCGCATGAACTTAACCACTGCACCACTGGGTCAAAGAATGGGCCATTTCTGGGGCGCACCAAACTGAGGCTTTTGTAGGAATTCTAGG